TGCCGCTTGAGGTCACCAGGACGACGGAACACTCTGTCACAGCGGTAGTTGGGGCACGGGATGTCTGGGGCTTCCTTCTCGACCCTCTGTCGACAACACTGAAACCAGGTGGATCTCTCCTGCGCTGTGTCATACCAGTCCGCTTCAGACAAACCGATGACACACACACACACACACACACACACACACACACACACACACACACACACACACACACACACACATATGCACGCGCATGCACGCACGCACAAACGCATGCACGCACGCACTACGATTCCACAAAGCTCTGTGTGTGTGCAGCATGAAAGCTCTCGTTATGCATACCTGTGTCCAGAATGATCAGAAATGATGGCTTTCTTCAGCTCTTCAGTTCGGTCATGCGTCAGCTGCCTCAAGATTTGCTCCCCAGGCGTGTCTGTGAAGCAAGAACATGGGTCATAAAGCAGGACAGAGACCTTGAACTGCATGCTACACGTAACATAACACAGGCATGCCACACCTTGATGCCACTAGCACTCATATCTACATTTGAACTGCACATACGACCAAGAGTACATAACCTCAGGAGTATTGAACTCACATAGGGTCTGGCGTGACGCGCTGACCAAACTACGTGGCCACGAACTGACTGGGAAATCAGCTGGACCAGTACATCAGTATCAATCTGCTACGGTTTCCTGCTTCAAAGTCCGCTTTTCTCGGAGACTTCGGACGGGTTTGCACGTGATGCGTCGTCGCGCACAGGCATTGCCTTCGTAATGAAGGCAGCACTGCGCGCAGAGCACCCATAGCGCGGAGATCAGAGCTGCACACCAGTGGGGTTATGGACTCTTGATCCAATGCATACACATGCATGATGCCTTGGGACGGTGTTTTTGGTTTTGTTTAACCAGGTCACATTCCCGCAAGTCGAGTACTGGTTACGCACTCATTGCCCCAAACTTGATAAGGAAAAGAAGTATCCCTGAAGATATCTTGGCCAAATAATGTTACTAAACGAATGCTGCTGCCATGTGAGAATACAAGCAAGCTCAGGTCAAACACTGCTACTCCCCACTACTTATACGGTAAAGTACCCCCAGAGCGCCCCACCAACTCGTCCTTTCGTTGTCGTGTTGTGGAGTTGGTGTCCTGTGCGAAGGTCATACGGCACGTACCTTGTACACACAGTGCACGCTTTGAAGTCAATCCGTACGCAGTTTACCTTGGAACTCCACACAAGAACATGCTAAGTGTGACCTTAGTACACAAAGGTTCTCACACCGTACAAACTTAGTTGCACTATTCCATATGATTTCCTTTCCCTGGCTGTAAAATCAAGGTGGGGCGCTCTCGACTCGTGAGACGGGGCGCTTTCGCAGTACTTTATGGTACTTACCATGCAAGTACAGTAAACCCTGGTTCAAGTTAAGCGACCACTCCATGGTGCGAACAAAAGCGGTCGTTAAAGCCAGGTGGTGTTTTTAGAACCAGGTCCCATACATTCGTGGCATATCAGATCGTGTACATACATGTGCATAATTGTACTTCTATGTACCCATATTGACAGGTGTACTTTGCTTGCATGAAAATATTCTATGCTCCACACCTGTCAATTTTTTTCACGTCTACATGACTTTAACGGTCGTCAAAAGCAGGTGGTCGCTAAAACCAGAGGTCGCTAAAACCAGAGGTCGCTTACACCAGGTTTTACTGTACCCCATACAAGTATCCATATTGTAAACTTGCCTACAAACAACAACAACACCAACACCAACAACAACAACAGAACTACTGGCCAAACAAGACGATGCTCGGGCCAAGCTTTTATTCAAATGTCCTTCTATTCAAGGCATACTTAATTGCGTCTCCACACACTCTTCAAATACCACAGCTCAATACACATAGCCAGTAGCCCAAGCCGTTCAGTATAATATTCAAATACCACAGCTCAATACACATAGCCCAAGCCGTTCAGCATAAGCGAAGCTGCGCTGTTAGCGTCCTGCTGATTCACTTCTTTGCGAATACGCAAAAACCTCATAAAAGCTAATACTTCCACATGAGTCAAGACTGCATGGCCTAGTCTGCGGTAACTTACCAGCACCACCAGCATCATGGCCTCGCTTGCGCTTCGGCGTGGCCACGTTCTCCAGCATGTGATCATACTGAATGGCACAATTCTGGTAATAAGTAGAGAAAATAAAATAACTGGTTTGCTGTCAAGCCAAGACAAGGCACAGAACACGGATTGACAAGTGATCACATAACAAAACAACCACAAATATTGACACCATTCAGCAAGACAGAAAAGAGGTTTGGGTGGACACACCCAATCCAGTCTGACTGCAAGTCTGAGCCAATTCCATTATTTAAAAAAAAAAAACCTTTAATAATGGAATTGGTTCAGATTTGCAGTGAGACTGGAATGGGGGTGTCCACCCAAACCTCTTTTCTACTATGAAGCTGCAGGAAGCTTCAAGACTTCTTTTGATTCAGCATGACGATGGTTGAAATGATTACATTTTTTGTAACCGAACGCTCTATGGATCTATGGATCTATGGATCTATGGATCGATCACCGACTAGGGTAAGTTTCACATTAAGTCCTTACGTAGGGACTTCAATTGAAAAACCAAATTCGCGAGTTTTGCATAAAACGCTAGTTTTTCTAAACCGGGAAGGTGTGCGAAACAACCTGTGAAAATTTGAACCCAAAATTCCAAGGCAATCTAGAGTTATAGTGGATTGAAGATCGGAAAACGGGGGAGAAAGTAGTCACAGAAGTAAATGCAAGTATGTATGTGAGCCGAGTGGTTTCCGTCCAGCACTGCACTATCTGGTGCATACATGGCGATACAGGATGTGTGCATGCATGCAGTGTGCACGCATGCCGTGCGCGCCTACTTGCACAAGTCACACGTTTTCACCGTCACTGCTTCTACAGCGTGCGCGCAGTTCACTCGATTTTTTTCGTCTACCACCAGGAAATCGCCGTGGGCTGGTTTCTGTGATCATCTTCCTTCTACCGTGATAAAGCGCGAGCCTCAATGTTCTAGAATCCTCTTGGTTTAGGCTAATTCGAGGCCGCTGAACATGAAAATCGGGTGTTCCTCGTGGGGCCGAGTACGGATCTGGTCGAAATTAGTACTTCGAAGTGCATCCGCGCCAAGCGCGAAGGCATTATTTTTGGAAGCATGGCATGTGTGGCACCATTGGAAAGGTAATGACCTCAGCTACCTAAAAATAGCATCGACAAGGCCGAAAAGGCCGTGGGAGAAGATACTTGGGCCTCGAACTGCATCTCGAACTGCATCTCGAACTGCAGTCACGAGGCGCCCATTCACTTTGTACAGGCGAGCTGTGACTGCACTTTTCGCTTTTCTGTGACCGGAACTGAACTCCCTACCTTACGTCCGTGAACCTTTACGTCAAAATTATTAAATAAAAAAACTCACGTAAAATTTGACGTATTCTACGTGAGTTTACTGCACCTCACGTAGTAACGTGACGTGGGTTTTTGGAAGTTGAGTTTGGTCATCCCGATCGGATTTGTGTGAGTATCCGTAGTTCGATCGGGTTTGTTGGAAGATTTGATTTTTGTGTTTTGAGAAAAAATCTTCTGTTCGAACTAATCCCGAATCTTACCTTTCACGTCACGTCGCACGTGTAACTTAACCTCTAAATTTACACGTAACGTGAGATTTTCAACGGGCTTTATCAATTTTTTTCTCCTCCATATTTTACCTGTTGGCATCGCACTGGTGAAGTTAAATTCACAAATTGCTGCATTTTGAATACTGCAAAAACCTTACAGGCCCTGTCACTCCAAACCCTACTGTGGCACAGGGCAGATGGGAGGTCGGTCCACGGTTCTGCGGAACTTCTGCCACAGCCCGGAGCTGGTAACATCTTACTACCGTATTTTACCGGTTGTAAGTCGACCCCGATTAAAGGTCGACCTCCGTATCCGGAGGTCTCAATTCTGTTTTTTTAAGTTTTCACCCAATGAAGCACTACTAACCACTTCCTGTTACCAACACATCAACAAATATTGTAAACATTCCTTATTGGAGGGTATAACGTCCCAATCCTTGAAAAAGGCCAATAACCTGGCAAAAATATGAACACGTGGTGCACTCGTGCATGCAGTGCAGGTATTTTTTTTGTAAGATACTGATAGTTCCCGGTTATAAGTCGAATCCCGGTTGTAAGTTGAACCCCACCCTTTCTCCTTCTATTTTTAGTCGTCAAAGGTCGACTTACAACCGGAAAAATACGGTAGTACTTGCACAGCATACATGTTGCACAATGTGCAGACTATTACGGATCTCAGTAAGAGCAAAACATATCGATCTCAGTCTCATCGATCTCGATGTGTATTAATCTCAGTCAATCCACATCCGCGTGTGCATGACGCATGGGCAATGTTGGAGAAAGCTACAGTTCAGGCTTGTTATCGACATTCCCATGATAAACAGTTTTCCCTGCAGCTGTTTAAAAAAAAAAAATGAATACCCTCTCTCCTACATGTCCGCAGTTTCTGTAGGTCAGGGCTCCATAGAGCATACCAGCAAAAAGACTAGGTTGCGGAGCTGTGTCGGCATCCAATAATGCTAAGATTACCAATGCCTTTCTCACTTCGCAAGTTCAAACCGAATTTGCTTATTTACATTGAACTACACTCAAACGTCATTGTAGAGAGCTCGGAATTGTTTGAGCCAATAGCCTCTGCAACATTTAGGACTTTTGCTTGTTGAATTGGTTGAGGATTGACCGAGTCACAGCCAATCGAGTACACTGTATTCGGATGTACATGTACGTGCATGTACACATTGTGCCATACGGCACAGTTTAAATAGCGAAATTTCTTTGAACAGTGAGGATGAGATAATTCCCATCCATGTTAGCCTTCTGCGCTACATGCACACACAAACACACCTTATGGTTGAAAAATTCCGGTGGTCTGCCTTCTCCCTCGACAAGGGGACGAATGGTGCGAGAAACAGAGACCCTGGAAAAGTTGGCGCACGCACATACACACACACACACACATGCACACACACACACATGCACAGACACACACACATGCACACACACACACACACAGTCATACTCAAGTAGTAAGTGCACATGGTTGCCTCACAGACTTAGGAAGCAAAGAACCCATACTACAATGGACAGTTCGATTGACTCCAAACTACGTGCCGATGCACAAAAGTGCAGTACAAGTTCCCCATATGTTTTCATGTCTGGGGAGTGCCCCCCCCCCCCCCCCCCCCGGCTAGAATCCTGCCCACCGTGACTGACACATTCCATCCTCGTCATCATGCCAAAGTGGAGTACCCACATGTATGTGCAGCCAATTATCTCCCCTATAAAATGTAGACCAATGCATTCGTCCTGACGTGCTGGATGTGGTGTGGTGTGTGGTAGAAGACGATGAAGACTGATTCGCAACGTGCTACCACGGGTGACTGTGTACAATGGGCCATGGATACTACAGATGGATGCTACAGATACTATGGATACTACAGTTGCGCTCACCAAAATCCGACGAGAAGTGCAAAACTGACGCCCTGGACCAGTTCCAATTACATCACTGTACTTGGACAAGCCGCATTCGTACCACTTCCAGGCCGCCAAGGCTGTTTACATCGTCGGCGCTCAGCCATACATTGGCCTATCGCGAAGATCGTTGCATCGGTGGAGAGCTGAGTCCAATACCTTTCCAACGATGCATCATTCGTGAAAATCCCTTGCCGTTTGAGTGAGTTACGAAAGTTTGAACACTCGTCTATATGCCGTGATGTGTAGTGTACACTGTATACTTTGGGCGTGTCGCGTACACTCGACGCTGGCCATCCAGGGTACATCCTGAGCGTCGCCAAGAGTACATGAAAACAAGAGTGTGCAGCTCGGATGGGTTGCTGTCACGGCGGAATTCCGTGATTACATCATGTTAGTGATGTTGTGCGTATAAGCAGGACTCAAGCAGGTCTCTTTCTGCACAACTGCAGCTCAGTTGTACGCACTACGCTATTTCCCGCCTCAAATCTGCACCAAATATGATGTGATCACGGAATTCCGCCGTGACAGACACCCATAGTAGAAAATGCCCCAAGCTGCACACTCTGGTTTTCATGTACTCTTGGCGTGCAAAGGGTTAATGGAGAGATTAAGATTCACGCCACACGCGTCGGAGGGATGTGTATTGATTTTTATTTAAGATCGAGGGGCTCTCCTGTGTGCTGTGTAAGGAAAGGGAGGAAGAGAGGAGGAAGGGAGATGAGTGCAGTGTATGGCTTGTTAATCAATACTGTCGGGAGAAAGCGGGAATACCAGAAACAGAATACATACAAGTAGAAAATTCTTGCATGAGGGATGTACGGAATTGCCGGGGGTGTTCAATCTCCCGAATACACGTGTATGGGGCTGACATCCCTCCAAGATCCAGCCACACAAGTCGCGGCATCTGAAACCATACATTCGTGAGGCCTCATTCGCGTAGGGTCATGCCTGTGTAGGTTTTCGGCTTTTTCCCGCATTTTTGTCATTTATCCAAAAAATATTTTGCCAGCATGATTTCTGGGCTGTGTTGCCAGGACTTATGTTGGACCAAACAAACACCATCACATACCAATTCTGATCTCCACTTCTCTGAACAGAAGATGCGAGGATGAGCTTCTCCCGCGTGGTCCATTCTGGTACAGAGATAGGCGCTGGCATTCCTGCAAAAATCAATATTAGAGGCAAAAAAATTCGAAATTCCAACTATTATCCTAATAATTAGTGTGCGGGCAATGGGAAAACGAAATGCTTTCAACCCGATGAAGAACGTACGTTGCATATCACCTACGGTTAGATGCTCCAGGCATCAGGATGGTCAACAGAACTACACGAATATTGAAGCCAGGATCGATGAAAAGGTACCAAACTCATCCAAATTTCTAAAATGAGGCATGAACTATCATTTTTCCCATTTTCGACTCACTCGTACTCACTCAGCATCAGATCATCAGCGCACCTAGTAGTACCTAGCTAGCTAGCTAGGCATGCAGACTATCTCGACTTGTTACTTTTTTTCTTTGGAAAAAAGTTTTTGCAGCTGGCAAAGCCATGATTATGACGTGGCCGTGGCTGGTGGGCGCCGGGCGCGGCGTGGCCCGTCGCTAGCGCGCGCTAGCGCGCGATTCGGCAGAGTAAAACAGAAAAACTGCGGTACCGGGTGAACTAACTTCACCATGACAACTCACACATTTTTGAACAGCGAAGGACTAAAGGGACCGTCACTTAATTTTTGCCGACTACCCGCCAAAAAAATCTTTTCGTTTCACGTGCCAGACTAGACTAGACACGTCCGCGAGCGCGTAGAATCTACGACTCGCGCTCGGCCGGCCGCGCTACCTTTCACGCCCTTGTCTCAGGGGATTCTGTCCCTGCATTAGCTATGCTTGTCACATGCTATGAGATTGTGTCTAATAATAATAATAATACGTCAAGCTGTTCTACCTTTCACGTCAAGCAACCTGTTCACGCCACATGGCTGGATTGGATAGCGCGTACATGCAGACATGATTGAAGACTTGCAAAATCAATTTTTTTACAAGTCCAGGCGCTAGGCGCTAGGCCTAGGCAGTACTGCCAAAGGCTAAAGCCCAGGCAGCTGCCTTTATTTTCGGAGAAACACTACTCATTGTAGTAAAAAGTAACAATGAATAGCGACATCATCTAGGAAGGATCGCTACCCTAACGCAAAGGAAAGGCCTTGCGCGGCTGCTCTACGAAGTGTTGAAGAAAGACTCATCAAAGTTAGTTGGTGGACGAACAACTCGCTGGCGCCGGAAAACTTGGCCCCCAACGATGGTGTTTGGTGAATCATCAAGCATAATGTCTTGTAGCAGTGTTCACCGAGGAAGGAGAACGCTCTAGCCGCTGCTGTTGTCCGTTTCATCCACGTTGGGCGTTAGCTGCACCGCGCCTATTGTGTTTTAGTATTCCATGGACACAATTAGCATTCAGAGCGATTGTGGAGCCACAATTTACTTCACACAGCGTTGTATTGTCCACGAGCGCAAACTTCATTATCAGCAGTAACTGTTACTCTTCATCCTACATGTAGATTTGGAGTATACACGGCCTTGTCACGACAGCGACAGCTCTACAGAGTGTTCAAGTGAGAAACATTAATTTCAATTGTTGGTGGACGAATAAATGGCTGGTTCCGAAAAACGCGGCCTGCACCGATGGTGTTTGGTGGATCATCAAACAGGGTGACCAGCAGTGTTCACCGAGGAAGTAGAATGCACTCGCCACCACTCCGATTCATCCAAGTGGGCGTTAACTGCGCCGCGCCTATTGTGTTTTAGTATTCCATGGACGCACACTAGCGTTCTCAGCGATTGTGGAGCCACAACATATCTTCATGCGGCGTTGCACTGTCCAAGAGCAGAAACGTCAGCAGTGACCCATCATCATACATGTAGATTTGGAGTATACACACCATGCGCCAATGGGCCTTGGCACAACAGCGGCAGCTCTACGGAGTGTTCAAGTGAGAAACATTTGTTTCGACTTTTGGTGGACGAACAAATCGTCGGTGCCGAAAAACGTGGCCTGCGCCGATGGTGCTTGAAACATCAAGCATGGTATGTGGTGACTGCGCGAAATACACAACAGTAGCACAGCGGAAAGAATAACTGATTGAACAGAAGCGTTGCTTTGTGTGTTTGCGCACAGGGCACCGGTCAACTCAGTGCAAGGCCACCCGCAAGTGTAATGTGTGTTCTCGCATGGGTCACCAATCAGAGTCACCATCATGTCACGATCTGCCCTGAATCCGTCCCTTTAGTCCTTCGCCGAACGCGAAGGACTAAAGGGACCGTCACTTAATTTTTGCCGACTACCCGCCAAAAAATCTTTTCGTTTCACGTGTCAGGCACGTCCGCGAGCGCGTACGACTCGCGCTCGCCCGCGTTACCTTTCACGTCAAGCCTATGTAACTTACTGCATAGGGTGCAAGGTGACCGTTGTCGGTTTACATGTACTCCAGTTATTACACCGTGCATGCACTGAGTCTGTGCTGCACTGTGCATCCATAAGTGTTCGTTTGCGGTAGCGCAAGGTGACACGTAAGGTTGATGTATTGTTTTGTCCGCTGCTATTCGAAGCTCTCGGAGTCGGAAGCGTTACCTCTGTTTCCCCTGTTCCTTCCTGCGCGGAGTCTGTAGTTCTGGCTTGCAGTCGCTGTTACATGCATGTTGGCAGTTGCATGTGTTTTGGTATTCAGTTGTCTTTATTTGTTTTGTGTGGACGACAGTTCAATATTCTAGCAGTTGTTGCACTTCCTACATTCCGTAGTCATTATGCGGTTGGTGTTCGAGAGAGCAAACTGTGTTCTTCTCCAGAGTGGAGTAAACCATTCGCTTGTGTCTGAGGAAAACCCTGTGTGTTGACGAAGAGGTTAATTTGGCTGTAGAGTGAAAGTACCACATGGTCACATGGTCCACAAAATCTTAGAACTAACTTAGGGTCTTCTGGCGTATGGTATAATTATATGAGCAGCATGAGAGTGAAGTAAAAGACCATTAGCTCAAACATTCAGTCTTTCAAGAGAAGGTGTTTCATCACGGAATAGGTTCTGCAGTTCACTTACACACTGCAACAATGGACCAGCAGTGTCCAGCATACAATAGAGTCATGTGAATATGTACCGTATGCATACTCACAGCTGCAAGGCCAGCGCCCCGTGGCTGCTTGACTTCTCAATCGATATAAATATTCACAACAGTAAGACTCTGTGATCAATCAGAGCTGTGCTTCGAAGTAGTCACAAATGCCCCATGATCAGTCACAAAACTAAACTTGGCAACCAGTCACAGCTTCCACGGTGCCCCAAGACCAGTCACCAGAGATGACCGTAGTAAATCTGCAGGGAGTTTCATAATCTGTTCATTGCAGAGTCCACTATACTATGATTCAAGAGGGGGGGTAGCGTTCCTGCAGATGCGGAAAACTTGGCTGGAACCCGAGTGTCACGTAAACCCTGATTTTTAAGACTTTTATTATTTGTTTTACGATGAGCCTATTATACGCGATACAGGCTCAGAACACACTTTTCGTCTATTTGGCATATCAGGGATATAGGGCGGAGCAGCCCATATCCCCAATTATGACACGCGAGTTATAGTGAAATACGATTGGCGTATTGTGCTGGACTGACTGCGGTAATGTAAAGCTAAAATCAAGCAGTCAGTTTGCCCTTAGCATGGCCTTGTCATGAGGGTGCCACATCCGTGGAAAGGCAACATGCCGGCTAATCTCCCTGAGAAGTTGAGTGGTTATCAGCAGGCGATGACGCTGTGTCGATGATGACTTGTTGATGCCCGACAGGAACCTTGCGAGGAGAGTCATTGGGCCCGACGGGTAGGTAAAGCCAACTTCCACCTGAAGTTTGCGGATGGCCGACATGTAGACATGGACAGATCGGGGCTGAAAAGTTCTGAACAACTCGGCAGCAAAATAACACATAAAGTAAAAAGTCATCACCTGGCAATGGATTCCAGTCATGCCCTTGACAGAACTGGAAGTAACGGGTATCGGCGGAAAAATATTTCCGGCTGGTGCCAGTGCTGCTAGCTGCAGCACGGAGTCCGGCAACTGAGAGTTGGCAAGACTGCCTGATCTGGCTCAGCTGCTGCTTCCGGAGCCCTCGATGGTTCAAACACCATCGGCGCAGGCCACGTTTTTCGGCACCACCGATTTGTTCGTCCACCAAAAGTCAAAACAAATGTTTCTCACTTGAACACTCCGTAGAGCTGCCGCTGTTGTGCCAAGGCCCATTGGCGCATGGTGTGTATACTCCAAATCTACATGTATGATGATGGGTCACTGCTGACGTTTCTGCTCTTGGACAGTGCAACGCCGCATGAAGATATGTTGTGGCTCCACAATCGCTGAGAACGCTAGTGTGCGTCCATGAAATACTAAAACACAATAGGCGCGGCGCAGTTAACGCCCACTTGGATGAATCGGAGTGGTGGCGAGTGCATTCTCCTTCCTCGGTGAACACTGCTGGTCACCCTGTTTGATGATCCACCAAACACCATCGGTGCAGGCCGCGTTTTTCGGTACCAGCCATTTATTCGTCCACCAACAATTGAAATTAATGTTTCTCACTTGAACACTCTGTAGAGCTGTCGCTGTCATGACAAGGCCGTGTATACTCCAAATCTACATGTAGGATGAAGAGTAACAGTTACTGCTGATAATGAAGTTTGCGCTCGTGGACAATACAACGCTGTGTGAAGTAAATTGTGGCTCCACAATCGCTCTGAATGCTAATGTGTGTCCATGGAATACTAAAACACAATAGGCGCGGTGCAACTAACGCCCAACGTGGATGAAACGGACAACAGCAGCGGCTAGAGCGTTCTCCTTCCTCGGTGAACACTGCTACAAGACATTATGCTTGATGATTCACCAAACACCATCGTTGGGGGCCAAGTTTTCCGGCGCCAGCGAGTTGTTCGTCCACCAACTAACTTTGATGAGTCTTTCTTCAACACTTCGTAGAGCAGCCGCACAAGGCCTTTCCTTTGCGTTAGGGTAGCGATCCTTCCTAGATGATGTCGCTATTCATTGTTACTTTTTACTACAATGAGTAGTGTTTCTCCGAAAATAAAGTCAGCTGCCTGGGCATTAGCCTTTGGCATTAGTACGAGCCTAGCGCCTAGCGCCTGGACTTGTAAAAAAATTGATTTTGCAAGTCTTCAATCATGTCTGCATATGTACGCGCTATCCAATCCAGCCAAGTGGCGTGAACAGATTGCTTGACGTGAAAGGTAGCGCGGCCGGGCGAGCGCGAGTCGTACGCGCTCGCGGACGTGTCTGGCACGTGAAACGAAAAGATTTTTTTGGCGGGTAGTCGGCAAAAATTAAGTGACGGTCCCTTTAGTCCTTCGCTTTTGAACAGAGATCTAGAGAGGAATGCACGCCAAGCGATCGCGTCGCCGGCGCCGCGCCGGCGCGCCGTGATCAAATGATGACGTCATGCGCGCAAGTAGATCTTCTTCCTTTTTTTTGCATTGTACTTTTTTTGAACTTTTTTCACACATATGAGGTGCGAGGAGCTAGCTGTGTCAAGACTAGTTTTCTCTTCTTCTTGTTCTTCCAATTAGTTTCAGTTACATCAAAGTAGCAAAGGCCATACTTTTGAACTTGAAATTGGACTGGGAAAAGGAATAAACTACACAGTGTAGATTTGTAGCTACAGACGCCGTTGTATGCGTGCAACTCCATTGTTGGGTAGATAATTTACGGTGCAAAGATGAAGTTTGAATTACTGCTTTTTACCACATTAGCGGTGGCTTCTGCCTCACTTTGCAGAGGGTACAAGATCGAAGGCAAAGTGTTGGTGAGTGGCGTGAAGGTGTCCACGTATTCGACGGAGACTCGCGTGCTTGTGCAGGGCGCCGGTGGAAAAACATCCGTAGGGTTTCTACAGAACGATGGGCGGTTCGTCGTCTCAGGCCTTCCTGCTGGCTTGTACATTGTGGAGGTAGCGTCAAGCAATTACTTCTTTGATCGTGCTAGAGTTGAGATTTCAACTGGTGGAAAGGTGAAGGCGAAAAAGGACCATCCCCTTCAGCCCAGCACTGGTGCGCAACTGCATTATCCATTGAAGTTCAATGCTAAGGAAACGATGACGTTTTTCACGCCACGCGAAACCTGGTCGCTCAAGGATGTTCTCATGCAGCCGATGGTAAGTCACAGATCAAAATTGTATGTAATGTAGTCTTCTGGGCGTTGAGTTGAATGTACTTTGTCTAGGAACGCAAGGAAGGAATACCGGTAGTTCTAGAGATAATCCCAATTGAACCGGAGAGGAGGAGGCTGCACAGCCCTGGGCCCCTGGCACTATGAACAGGCGCGTAGCTCGTGTGTAGTCAGCGTAGTGCGGTCACCACACCAGCAAATGACTGTCGTAGGTACTGCATAGGCACAATAGGCAAATGACTGTCGTAGGTACTGCATAGGCACAATAGGCAAATGACTGTCGTAGGTACTGCATAGGCACAATAGGCAAATGACGGCTATGGGTCTGCAGGTGGTACATGGTCACCACACCACAGATGTGCGAGCTGCGCCTCTGATCTAACATCATGCTACATGAGACTGTACTGTGAACACCAGGCGCGTACTCCAAGTGGTTCCTGGCGCTCCTGGAAACCATGTAAAATTGGCCTGATTTTTTTTGTAGCACGCCCACTGCAAGAAAATCATCGGGATGCGAGTGGCCGTATTGCCACGTACTCGTACTACCAAGAGTACATAACCCCCCAGAGTGTGCAACGCCTGATCCAGCTCTGCATAGGGTCTTGGTCGAGCGGAATCGGATCTTTGCGTCATAATACCGTACACATCTGAGGGGAACCCGGGAAGTCGCGGGTACTCTTGGATCAAAAACAATGGTGCCCTGCCTCGAGACCGGCCTTGCGCTGGTGTGGAGTGTACGCATGACATCAGAAGATCCGATTCCGCTCGACCAAGACCCTATGCAGAGCTGGGTCGGCGTTGCACACTCTGGGAGGTTATGTACTCTTGGTACTACAGATCATTGACCCTTGTGCAGTATACACGGGCGTTTGTGACTTCGTCCAGTTCAGATTCTCTGGTACTCTGCCCAGTGCTGCTGGTCTGGAGTACTTTGCCCATGGAGTTTTCCATTACCGCTGCTGCTGCTGCTGCTGAAAACTATGCATTGGAAGTTAGTTGTTTCTTTAGTCACTAAAGTTGAGTGTAGTTTAGAGTTGACGTGTTGAAAGTTGCTATGAGTTGTTCAGAGTGGAAACATGACAATTATGGTGTGCGGCAATGTAGTGTTCTTATCCTGTGCAGGTTGACAGTGAGTTCACCCCCTCACCGTCTGCTCTCGGGGACCGCTTAAAAGCACCCCGAACCTTATTCTCAACGTCATCATTTCACTACCCACCACTGTACTACTACAACTGCTATCCACAGATTGTCATGTGTTGTAAAAGTGTGAACCTTTTGCGCCCTGGTACTAAATCCACAGATTCCTGCCACACGCAACAGTCCCAGTATGCATTTGAAAATTATCTAATTTCACTCACCAGTTTCGTAATTTTTTCATCTTGGTCTCATTGGAAAGCTACAGATCTCCTCTCTCTGAATATCGCCACTAGACACTCAGCAGAGCAACATAATTGCCTTCAAGCCTGTTGAGAGCTGCTCTATTGTGCCTGAGCGAGATTCTGTACGCACCTCAACAAATGGTATCGTTTCTCAAGTTTTACTCCACGTAGAACGGTGATTCAAAGTGCTGCAGATTCATGAAGCTCAAACGATTCATTTGGTCTCTACTTCGCATGCGCCGTGCAACGATGAGTCACAGGGAAAGTCCCCTTTTGAAGCACTCCGACCCACTTCGAAGCCATCTGCGCACAAAATTTTCAGAACAATTTTAAGAGTATCCGCCTTGCGTTCTTCGACACTCAGTGATTCCGCATCGCGCTTTATCAAACGACATACCACTGGAAAGCTTTTTCTCTCACCTTTCCAATTTGCCATCATTCGCGACTATCGGATAAAGGACAATAGAGCTACAGCAATTTGAACAGCGATGCATATGCACTGTACAAGTATGCACTTTTACTTAATGCACATATGCGGCATCAGGAAATCAGGGTATAACGTTTTGACGCATATGTGCGGCATCAGTCCGCAAAGGGTTAACGCGGTGTAATATCAGGCATTGGTAATAATGCATTCTGCTATTTTTGTTGTGTCATGATACTTTGCAGATTCTCATCATGGTTCTTCCCATCCTACTAATGCTATGCTTACCAAAGATGTTGGGCAACATTGATCCAGAAGCACAACGGGTAAGGATGAAGTCATTGCCTTGGCCCTTGTGGCATGTACTGGTGGTCTTGTGTGGTAACTGCGTTTGCTGCTGCTGCTGCATTGCAGCCTTACTCACACACTGGGCTTGTTTCCTGCTATTTTTTTCAGTCCAGTTTGAGATTGTTTGTGGTTGTTCAGGCGGAATCCTGACTCAAAGCTCTTCCACTAGTACTTTCCTTGCCTTCGTCATCAGGTGGAATGCAGGCAAAAAGAAACTGACCAAGCACAATGAATGTTGTACAGTAGTGATGTGATAGCAACAGCGTGAAGAAGAGTAGCTAAAAACAACACTTTGAAATGCATCACTTCATACACATAAGAGGAAGGAGAAAAGGTGCAAGTGCAAAGAAACCAAACAAGAATCCATTGTACTGCGACAACAATAGACAACCAAGAGACAACACTAGCAAGTAGTTGACGACCTATCCAACAGCCTAACTGTGAATCTAATTTGTTTTTGCTTGCAGATTTCAAGGTGTACATAGCGCTAGATTATTGTCTACATTCACCCTAGGAAGCACACTGGTATCCTAATTCTTTCTTTCTTTTTCCTTTCCTTTCCTCTGTTGTGCTGTTAGCAAATGCAAGAAGACGTGCCGAGCATCTTCAACCAGTCACAGGAAATGCCGTATGAGCTCACAGATGTCTTCCAGTACATGTTCCCCGAGCGGAAGGGAAAGAAACCGTCAGCAACAAAAAAGTCAGTTACAGCGCCACGAAAAAGATGATGTAGCAACAGGTGTTGAGCTAGGACTAATGTTTTATGAAAAATGCTGGCTATTGTCAGGCAGTGCCGCAATCAGTGTCCTTTCGGCTACTTTTGTGTAGTTTGGACCCTTGATGGAAGCCATATGGTGTTGTTTTACTCTTCCTATCTGCTTTAGGTGTCCAGGGCTATGTGTCATGACCGCATGATGTGCCTCTGTGTGCGTGTGTGTGTGTGTGTGTATGTGTGCAGTAAGAATAACCCAACCATTGCGGTTCATGACATTGTACTTTTCTTCATAAAACTCAACACTGTAATACAGCGAATCTCATAATGTGCTGGATTGTGTCTTTCACCACATACATGAAGTATTGTAAATCCAGACCATTTCCTACGCTTATTTATGATGATGTACTCTGGCTTCGAAAGTTTTAAAAATGCATACAGAATTACCAGTCAATCTACATACAGTACTATCTCGTCCTTTGCGTAACACAGAGAAATGAGGTTGGAATACTGGTATGGATTGAAAATTTGAAATAATAAAAGTCCCTCTCGAATAGAAGCCTCCTCAAAATTGCCATTGAAAAATAGAAGCCCCGAGTACCGTCAGTACGGTGAGCGGATTTCGAGGGACTTATAGACTACTACACCACAGCTGGAGCGAAATACATGTACTTGGAGTGAAACTCGTTTTGAAGACAGCACTGTCTTTTCCTCTCGGGACTCGCCACCGCTGCAGAGAGGACATGTCATGAAAAGATACAATATAATGACCATGCCCCATGGCTAAATCAGTAAGTGTGAGCGTACATAACTTCCCCGGCCGGGGCAGATGCTCAGAGCTATCTATGCGTATGACATCACCATGTGCAAGTACCAAATTGGGCTTTGATAGAAAGGATAGAAAGGATTTCTTGTCCTAGTATCCCTCAAACTCAGGGAACAGCTACACGTAGGTAACTACTGTACAGTGCTGCTTGGTGGCTAATGAAATCCAGTGTTGCTACTGTACAGTGTTGCCAGTGTACAGTGCTGCTTGGTGGCTAATGAAATCCAGTGTTGCCAGTGTACAGTGCTGCTTGGTGGCTAATGAAATCCAGTGTTGCCAGTGTACAGTGCTGCTTGGTGGCTAATGAAATCCAGCGTTGCCACTGTACAGTGCTGCTTGGTGGCTAATGAAATCCAGCGTTGCCACTGTACAATGCTGCTTGGTGGCTAATGAAATCCAGCGTTGCCAGTTGGTTAGTGCTGGCTCTTGCGCAGCCCTCGTGAACCTGCTACTGTAGCACCAGTCTGCCCCTTTGGGGAAACGCGGTCAACCATCCTAAATTCTATGCGGGGGGGGGGGGGGGGGTAATTCTGCAGCATCTTCTGCAAGTACCCACAAAACAACCTCCCTTCCCATCTTTCCTGCAAGTATAATCATAAATCTGTGAGTTTTTCACAGGCAAAATTATGAATTCCCTGAATTACTCAAGCTGCGGATTACTTTTGATTTCTGGTGAAACTACCGCAGCTGCAGTACACCACTTTCTTCAAGGAAACAGATTAGTCTGGGCGCTCGTGCTTTGGGTACAGTCAAGAGTACATAACCCCAAGTTATGTACTCTTGGTACAGTGCACCAACTAGAGTTCATAGCGCTGCAAGACTGCACATATATACAGAAGCCTTGCTTGGTAGTTTAACATGTTTTCGGATTTTGACAGCATGTTACAAGGCGAGGAGCACTACGCGTCCTCGCCTTGTAACATGCTGTCAAAATCCGAAAAGACTGTACATGTACTGCTGTACTTCAGTAGGTAAGAACCACAGAAATACGCTTTCCCTGCACGCATGGTCTGATGTGGATCCTGGATGTGTGCCAGGTACTGTGTATTACGTTATCTGAAGCCATTCGTTGGAAGGGCTAGAATGCACATTAGCAACAGCTATGGGCTCAATATGCTTATAAAGTAGCTAGACAAACACAACAAAATCGTAGTAGATCTACAGAGTGATAACAAGACTGGTAATACTAAAAGAAACAGCTAGTACAAGGGTGATGGTGTGCTGCATCTAATAATAGCCTGCATCTGGTTGTGGGTTGGCAAGTGACTTTTAATAATAGCTGATTGGCACGGTACTTTTTATTTATTTATTTTTTATCGGTTCTTTAATGGATTTGGTAACTATTTTTATCCGCTTGGTTTTCACATTTTGCATCACAATTTGTGGTTTTCCCGAATAAAGCTTGGAGTCAGTACAAGGGTGCACCATGCTCTCCTGAATTGCGTTGGATACGTGTGCAGCTCCCAATCGGAAAGAATGGTACAATGATCCGCAGAAATGGTGGTGTCAGTTGCATGAGTGAAGTAACTTCCAAGACTCGACTTTGCGTGCCACGGACAGCTACATGTACATAGTATGGTGTATGCGAGCCTTGCCTGATAGGTAACATGTTTTCACGATGACAGCGTGAACAGTGTGTCCTCGCCTTGTTCACGCTGTCATCGTGAAAACATGTACATAAGTAGTATCTAGTCGTCTACTTGTACATGGGTATTAGGTGGACCACTACTTGAGAGCCGTGTTCAAAATATGTACCTCAGCAAATGGTGACTAGTAGAACAGCACCGTGCACTGCTATAACTGTGTTGCATAAGGCAGCAGCAGCAGCAGCAGCACTCTTAGCCGACTACACTAATACTAATACACGTAAGGCAAGAGGATGTAGGGAACTTTCTCACAGTACCCCTCCCAGGCCGTGTCACCATACTTGTGGGCCAGGCGTTCACCATCACGTTTGCACCGGTGCATGAGGAACAGGGAAAGGAAGCAGAAGTAGAAGAATGGCAGGAACGAGCCGAAGCCGCATGCCAGTCCCCAGCACAAGGCCATAACCATGTCGGCGGTGTAGTGGGGCTTGCGAACGTATTGCCACCAGCCATCCAGCAGAAACGTGCCCTTTTCCACCTTGAACTCACGCGGCGCATGCAGTGTTCCCCAGGGCAGCTGCGGGAAGGCATTGCGCGCTACGTACGTCTTGGCCTGCATCATGCGGTAGCGGTTCTTCTGACTGTTAGCCGTGTCCCACACATAGTAGGCCAACATGAGTACAATTGCAATGAGCACTGAAACACCACGCGGGTGTTCAAACGGCGCCATGACCCGCAGATACAGCGATGGGATGCAGTAGAGAAAGGGCACACCAGCCAGGTTCCAGAAGGCCAGCATCCAGCCGAAGCGTTCATGGAAGATGTCCCAGGTGGTCGGTATGCACTCCTCACCTTTCTGGCAGGCGTTGGTGTAGAGAAAGTGTGCCAACAGAATGATAAGCATGGGCGACGTGACCACGCCATGCGCGTGGTATTGCTCGCTTGCATTGGACGCAGTCAGCAGGAATAGCAAAATCCACGACACGCGGATTTCGGCAAACATCTTGATGTCCACAACACCAATACGTGGGTTTAACCATACGCCCATAAAGAACTCATCTGCTGATATGCCTGTTCCGGGCTCGTTTTGCTTGGTCAGGACTGGCCACAGGAGCACATACAAACTCACCAGGTTGCCGACAATAACGGCGGACGTCATTAGCGGTCCAAACTCTTTGGCAACCTCGTGCAGAGGTAGAATACCGGTGAAATGCAGCAGGGCATGGAAAGCCAGAGTCACGTACCAACTAGCAAGGCCGTTACACAGGTACTTTAGCCGGTAGCCACCTTTCAAGGGCAGGCCTTCCATCACTAAGCCCGGCATGATCATTGCCAGCAGGATTTGCATCAGCAGAAATCCAACGTATAGAGTAGTGCTACGGACCGTGGGTAGTAGTGGCGTGTTGAGCAACTGCTTCCAGAACTCCACCGGGCCCAATAACGCCCCGCCGCTACTCACTATGCACACATAGAAGTAGTACAGGATGAAATGCGACATGAGAATTGTACCACCGCTGAGTATTGCAGCCATTATTGATGTCGCCCACAGACAATCCAGTGTCTGTGATTGATTAATCAGTGTCGTGGTGAATGCTGTGCTGGAGGACGCGCGTTGTTCTTGTTCTACATGAACTACAGTAACTAAGTTACTTATGAAGACTGCCTCCGGAACGCCAGGAACAACAAGTGAGCCGGCCACACGACAACACTCAAACTACCAGGTATGTACTAGACTACATTACTTTTGTAGTAGTGAAGACAGGATCTAGCCCCATTATTCTAGGCCAGGACAACCTCGTACGAGTCGTAGCGCTAGTAGAATCTACTAACTGTAGCGATGCTGCCACCGACTTCTGGTTGGTACTCAACATCCACCCAACACTTTCGAAATGCCAGAGAAACTACTTGTAAACTAGACAAAGTACCGGTACATGTGACATTCTACTGGAAGTAGATCTACCCCGGTACCCGTACCCCGGTACCAGTACACGCACGAGGTTCGCAGCGCTAGCGACGAAGATAGCTGCACTGCTATGGTCGGCTTCTAGAACTTAGTTCTATCCTGGTCCAGAATTAATCAAAGGACCAGATTCTCCCCTCTCGAGATGTACGTGGCTCCGGGTCGAGATTACACCATGTACCAGTCCTGTAATGTAGCAACAGCTGCGGGCTGTCCATGCTGTGTAGCCGTGCTCCGTACAGTAGTAGCTTAAAGGGGAAAATTAAAGGGGAAGTTAAGGCAAAAATTAAAATTTCACCAGTTGTAGTCTTCGGGGTGCTGAGTCGAATGGTCGTGGTCCGAGGAAGCTGAGACGCTCCCTTCCTACTTGAATCCCAATCGAACTCGCGCACTTCCACCGAAACTGGGTGACTGCGCCCTACTAGATGGGGATTTGTATGTAAAATGTCACTAAAAGCGCCATTTCGTTCTTATAAAAGTATGGATGACCGCGATTGGCCCATATGTTGTAGTCATTTGGACGCTGAGTCGATTGGTTTTGGTCCGAAAAGGCTGCGATGCAGCGTTCCTCCTTTATTCCCAATCGAACATGGTTGAAGAAGCGGTCACGTGCTCCTGCGTGCGCCAGTCAGCTGGTCACCGTGCCTGCAGGGTACAACTTACTAGCCTGTTTGACCTTTTTTGGGTGCAATCCTGTCACTCGAGTTGAACCTTGGTGTGAAAGTTCTCGCCTGCTGGCGTGGTGACCAGGTGATTTGGGCACCCAGGAGCACGTGACCACTTCTTCAACCATGTTCGATTGGGAATAAAGGAGGAACGCTGCATCGCAGCCTTTTCGGACCAAAACCAGTCGACTCAGCGTCCAAAAGACTACAACATATGGGCCAATCGCGGTCATCCGTGCTTTTATAAGAACGAAATGGCGCTTTTAGTGACATTTTGCATACAAATCCCCATCTAGTAGGGCGCAGTCACCCAGTTTCGGTGGAAGTGCGCGAGTTCGATTGGGATTCAAGTAGGAAGGGAGCGTCTCAGCTTCCTCGGACCACGACCATTCGACTCAGCACCCCGAAGTACAACTGGTGAAATTTAAAATTTTGCCTTAACTTCCCCTTTAAAATTTCACCAGTTGTAGTCTTCGGGGTGCTGAGTCGAATGGTCTTGGTCCGAGGAAGCTGAGACGCTCCCTTCCTACTTGAATCCCAATCGAACTCGCGCACTTCCACCGAAACTGGGTGACTGCGCCCTACTAGATGGGGATTTGTATGCAAAATGTCACTAAAAGCGCCATTTTGTTCTTATAAAAGCACGGATGACCGCGATTGGCCCATATGTTGTAGTCTTTTGGACGCTGAGTCGACTGGTTTTGGTCCGAAAAGGCTGCGATGCAGCGTTCCTCCTTTATTCCCAATCGAACATGGTTGAACAAGCGGTCACGTGCTCCTGGGTGCCCAAATCACCTGGTCACCACGCCAGCAGGCGACAACTTTCACACCAAGGTTCAACTTGAGTTCAACTCGAGTGACAGGATTGCACCCAAAAAAGGTCAAACAGGCTAGTAAGTTGTACCCTGCAGGCACGGTGACCAGGTGACTGGCGTACGCAGGAGCACGTGACCGCTTGTTCAACCATGTTCGATTGGGAATAAAGGAGGAACGCTGCATCGCAGCATTTTCGGACCAAAACCAGTCGACTCAGCGTCCAAAAGACTACAACATATGGGCCAATCGCGGTCATCCGTGCTTTTATAAGAACGAAATGGCGCTTTTAGTGACATTTTGCATACAAATCCCCATCTAGTAGGGCGCAGTCACCCAGTTTCGGTGGAAGTGCGTGAGTTCGATTGGGATTCAAGTAGGAAGGGAGCGTCTCAGCTTCCTCGGACCACGACCATTCGACTCAGCACCCCGAAGACTACAACTGGTGAAATTTTAATTTTTGCCTTAACTTCCCCTTTAACTGGCATAAGCACTGCGGATCGTTGGTCGGACACAGACACAAGTAAAGACTTTCTAAGTTTTTAGTAGGGGTGAAACGGTTCCATGTTTTTTATGTTCAGCTGGCGGTTCCAAAACCAGTTCCTTACCCGAACCGTTTCACCCCTACTTTTTAGTGTATTCCTCCCGCCGGGATTTCAGTGGCACTATGTATCTAATATTGACTGAGTACGAGGTCAATATAGGAAATAAAAGCCGAGTAAAAGACCGAGGCGAAGCCGAGGTCTTTTACGAGGTTTTTATTTCCTATACTGACCAAGTACGAAGTCAATATTAGATTTATCACGACAAACAGTCCGTATTTCAAATTCCAGAACGATAACCTCATGAATCCCGGTTTTATGATTGCACAACCGTTGTACCACCACCTACTCATGCAGTGACAATGCTGCACTAGGCACCGTTCAACTGCGCGACCCCTAAGCAGACAAATATAAGCAGTCAATATAGCCCTAAGGAGTGAAATATGCAGGAATATTTGACTGCTTAGGTATGGCAAAAATCTATGTGAGTCAATACTAAGGGAGTGATAAACTATAGTACTACACTGTACTACTAGTACTACTATTACAAAGACAGTTAGTCATTCCGCAAAAAAAGCTCTGCAAAGCAGAAAGACCAAAGCCTTTGTGAGTCCGTGTGGGATGCGCGTTTACATGATTTCGACTTTATGTATAGGATATTGCACGGTTCCGAGGGGATTATTTTTCAAATCCCCAAGGCGCATAATCCCCTCAAATGAAGGGAGATATCCATAGAATGAAGTTGAAGACACCACTGCAGCTGTACTTATGGTTGATAAATATGGTGGTAAAGACACACCTGGCAATATGGCGGTAAACACACGCCTGCCCACACACGCTCTCTAGGCTGCAAAGTTCTGGCACAGAGCTCTCCTTCTCACCACCACCACCATCAGTTCGCGCCTGGCGCCTGGTCGATGCATGGCTGGCGGTATCCGGCATAGCAGGCTGGTACATCAAGTAGCGCATGGCACATAGATGATGACACAGCAACGACATAGCTCGATTGCGACGTACGTTTCGTCCCCGCTGGACTCATCAGGCAATCTTCTTCTTGGATGTCTTCATACGGAGCTTGACTCGGGAGAATGAAGTTGAAGACACCACTGCAGCTGTACTTATGGTTGATAAATATGGTCAAGAAGAAGATTGCCTGATGAGTCCAGCGGGGACGAAACGTACGTCGCAATCGAGCTATGTCGTTGCTGTGTCATCATCTATGTGCCATGCGCTACTTGATGTACCAGCCTGCTATGCCGGATACCGCCAGCCATGCATCGACCAGGCGCCAGGCGCGAACTGATGGTGGTGGTGGTGAGAAGGAGAGCTCTGTGCCAGAACTTTGCAGCCTAGAGAGCGTGTGTGGGCAGGCGTGTGTTTACCGCCATATTGCCAGGTGTGTCTTTACCACCATATTTATCAACCATGAGATATCCATAGATCACCTGAAAAGGGTGGTCTATGCAATAATACGGCCACCTACTGTGACCTATAATTATTATTCGTTGTTTCGGGTCACTTCACTCATCCGTACCAGGGTCAGTCGGTCGGGTTTATTTTTTATTATTAATTATTATTAATTTTTGGTTACTGCCATGTGCACACGTACACATGTACAATCATGTAGAGTCTACATGACACAAGTACGTAGATCTACAACTGTGCATATCGAATATCCAAGCTTTTGTCCATCAAGCCAGTCGATCAAATTTGACTGTAGACGATCCATGTCAGTCCCATCAGGTCCAGGTCTCCTCCAGGACCAGATCTTGGCCTCGCTGACAAACGAGTCTGACGAGCAGCTCCCACCAAAACTTCTGTCAAGGAGCAACACGATGGCGGAGCTGATGCTGTTTCAGGACCAATTGCGGATCGGGGATAATAGAAGACGACGTCGGCACCAAGCGCTGCATCATGTCAGTTGGCTGCTTCCGAGGTCGGCGTCGATGTCTGGACTGCTGAAAATCGATCGCGATCCGCGGATCAGGAATGATCTGCACTAAATAATAGTTTCGACGCGAAAGGCGCTCCCGTCGTGTTCCGTCCAGCACGAAGGCGACAAGCCTCTGGGTCATCCTAATAAAGATTATTATTATTAAAGCACGCAATGTCATACACGTGCACACGGCTGTTACGTAGATCACAAAATCGGACATTCAAAATGGCGTCATTTTTTTGAAACTTTTTGAATTTTTGAACGCGACGGCCCCCAGAGAATAGCTGAGAATTGCATTTTTCACGTTGGTATCCAGGCTATTTTGGCTCCTATCGTCTCCCATCGACACGGTTTACCATACAACCGCGATTTTCGTCCAGGGGAAGCTTCAAGGAACGCATTGATGCCTTTTGGATCGTCTTTCCCAAGAGGCGACAGGTTTCTGTCGCCACGTCGCCTCCACGTCCTTTGTTCTTTCGATTCCCAAAACTGCTCTACTTTCATTGCTGCCTACATCCCGGCGCCGAGTTTTCGCAGCTGCTTGCTGTGTTTTTGGCGGCCCTAGAGACCTTCTATAGCTCGAAAATCGCGCTCTTGTCCCAGATCGCGCAAAGGAAGTCTCGATCGCGCATCGACATTTTAGCCTTGTTTGTTGCTTTCTGCTCTGCGATGGAGCACCACTCGAGTATTCTTGAATCCGTGTGTCGCATTGGTGGCCAAAAACTTGCCAGTGCTAGTCACAAAACTCCATATCCGGTGAAGAATTATGTTGAAGAGATCGCCAAAGTTTTTAAAATTGATGTTTCCAAAGATTCCCCTGACGTGCATCCCCAGTACATGTGCTCACTTTGTCAATTTGCTATTGCACGTTCAATGAGAGATGACACATATAAGTATTGTAGTGGGGGCTGCAATGGTCCAGTTACATGGCAACCACATACGAGATCTAACTGTGCCGTATGTAAGAGTGATGCTGTACGAGCCAAGGGCGGCCGTCCACCGAAACGGAAAGCCGTCAGTGAACTGCGTGGCCAAGCGGCAAAACGACAGACA